GGCGTGTGCTGTTGCTGCAGTTGACAAGAATGTAGATGTTTCAGGGACACATTTCTGAATTGCAGCCTCCATATTTGACAAACATGCGTGCATTCAGAAAGATTCTAAGTATAGAAAATACAATTGTGTTAATGCCAAACATAACCAAGACCAGCTCAGAGGCAAAATACAAATTGTGTTTGTTTATTCAAACATGTTGTTTGTGTAGGAGCCCTTCCTCCAGTGTGGATTTGTTTGAGGTGCTCTTTGGAAGCGACAGGCATGGACTTGAAAGTGAAAAAAAAAAAAAAAACTTCAAGGCACGCTCTAAGAAAACGCCTCTATTTTCACTGCATGGTTTTGTTGACCTATAAATTTCTGACGCATACAAGCCTTTCCTTAGGGAGTGAGTTTGTTTATTGTCAAAATGTAATAATAGAGTTTGCATCTGCATGTGTGAACGAGATAAGACTTTCCCAGATCTCAACCTATGGGAATCCCTGCTTTGCATACATTTAAATGTAGTGCTTTCTTTGCCAAGTATGGAAAGAAAAGGACAGGACAGGACATCCTTCCTTATCGCAGCATCTAGAAATCAAGCTTCCAACTTGCAATGGATTTATGAAAGGAAATGATCCATCAGAGAGGACATGCTACACAGTGGTCGCTTGACTGGCAAATTACTGGAGAGGCCAGACACAAGAGCAGAAAGCACACAGTGTGGGGTTGATTCACAACCTCTCCAACATCCTTGCTGCAATAATAATAATCATTATCATTTGAAGTACCCCTTCCCCTATTGTTACCCGCACCCAAATACGTATTCCTATGTGCTAACTTCAACATCAAATGCATGCTATTAACAATTACAGATCGTAGTGAACCATTTACACAAGGAGAGTTCCCCTGCAACATCTTTTCAAGCAGAGTTGGAAATAAATAAATGTTTGACCCCTTCCTTCGTCCAGACAGGAAGTTCTGTTCACAAGACAGGAAGACAGGAGGCTTCTCTCGGGACTCGAGCCTCCAAACACTATTGTTGTGGTGTGGTGAGCAGCCTGGCACTGCGAGCCAGAGACAGACGCAGAAAAAACAAACGGCGAGGTGCACTGACCGTGGGTCACGTAGGCACCTCTCCAGCACTGGAACTACAGACGCTTCAAGGCTTCTGCACAGATTACTGCCCTCATCATCCTCTAATTACAGCATCTAACATTACCAGCACTGTTGCTAAAACAACAAGGTGCATTCAGGCTGATAAACAATGAGAATTTCTTTTAAAGAGTAACTTACCCCAAAATTAACTTTTTTTAGCTGATAAACTGTCTAGAATGTGTCTAAAATGTTATATAGTACTGTTTCTG